ATCCATCCATCCATCCATCCATCCATCTGTCCATCCATCCATCCATCCATCCATCTCCATCCGTCTGTCCATCCATCCATCTCCATCCATCCATCCATCTGTCCATCCATCCATCCATCTCCATCCATCCGTCCGTCCATCCATCCATCTCATCCATCCGTCCATCCACCCATCCGTCCGTCCATTCATCTCCATCCGTCCATCCATCCATCCGTCTGTCCATCCATCCATCTCCATCCATCCATCCATCTGTCCATCCATCCATCTCCATCCGTCCATCCATCCATCCATCTCCATCCATCTATCCATCCATCCATCCATCATCCATCCATCCATCCATCCGTTCATCCATCCATCTCCATCCGTCCATCCATCCATCTCCAGCCATCCGTCCATCCATCCATCCGTCCGTCCGTCCATCCATCCATCCTCTTCTGCTTATTCCAGGTCAGGTTTTGGGGGCAGCAGCTTGAGCGGGGGGAACAGATCTCTCCTTCTCCGGCTACCTCTTCCAGCTCTTCTAAAAGGATTCCAAGTCGTTCCCAGACCAGTCGAGGGACATAGTCTCTCCAGCGTAMCCCGGGTCTTCCTCTGGGTCTCCTCCCAATCCACACTTTTCTGATTGAGGACCATGGACTCAGATTTGGAGGTGCTGATCCTCATCCCAGCTGTGAACATTATGAACTAACAGCCCAAATGTCCCAAACTTCTGTCGTCGTTGGGAAGTAAAGGCAGCAGGAACCATTTTGCGAAAGATGACTTGTTTTATTTTAGGAAACAGTGTCTATATATTAAGAAGGTGGGGATTTATGTCAACACCATCACCAGCTAGACTTGTTACAAAAATAAGCATTTGAGGAGAAATGGGAGGTTCAAACCTGAAAAAAAATTGGGCTTTTTTTCTTAACAAAATTATGTTCATTTAAATGGGTTGAACTTGCACTAGAAGGTCCATGGTGTACTTATTATCAATATTTAGCTGCCAACTGTGTGGATGCTGTCAATTTTTAAGCAAAAAATATATGAAACCATATGATCCATAAAACGGCAGCTGAGATTAGCGCCTGTTAAAATGTTGTTGAACAGTTTGTTCTTGTTTCACACTTGTTCCGTCCTAACTGGGACATGAATAATTAAGTAAAGGACAAAAGAAGCACATGAGAAACATTAGTTGATTCAACGTTTGAAGCCGTGGCTGATCGTTGTGGGAACTAAGGTAACAGGATGGGCGGAGGAGATGAGGGGGGTTGAATATTTAAAGTAACTATTGAATAAATAAACTAATTCAAAAAGTGTTTTTGCATAAAAAGCCAATCCCTGTTTTGAGGTGTGTTGTGATAGTTTCAATATGACTAAGTTTTCTTTGTCTATTGTCACTGTTTCTCTAATTTAGTTAGTTACTCTTATTTTATTATTCTTTTTTTTTTGTTTTACAATTGAACATTCTTACAGTATGTGCCTCTGTAGAGCACTGTAGAAGCTAAACATTGATAAATACTGTGTAACAAAAGGTGAATTGTTTGCTTGAACCAGGGATCTGCAACAGCTATTTGTAGCTCTGACCAAATAGAAYGTGGAATTTTATGGATACTGCAACAAAATAAAGTTTTTGCAGTTTTCCTGACCATTTACTAGTGAAAATGTTTGATTAGAGCAAAAACATATTAACCATTATGGTTTACATTACATTTAAGGCAAGTTGCGGAAAAGACTTCATAACTTGTAAAAACATGATAAGTTGGTTTGATAATAACATAAAACAAAGACGTAAATTAAAAAAACAAACAAAGTGGAAGTAAATGAACCATGGTCTTTTTAGTCCTAACCTTGAAAAGTACAAATTAATGTCAAGAAATGTATTGCAGATTTTCACTTTTATATTGAATCTAATAATACAATAGTACAATTAGTGACTGTGGACAAACTTTATTTAGAGATGGCTCTTTTGAATGTAAAGTCCTTGGATTGTGTGTTGTGATAGCTCCCTCTTGTGGTCAGAATCTGTTACTCAACATGTTGAGCACCATTATCCCAACTGATCAACGTTACATAACAGACATCTTACAAAACTCCCCTGCAAACAACAAAGACTGATTGATTTTAAGAACATGACAGAGTCTGTAGACATCCTGGGATAAAACAAGTATCATGTAATTATTTGATTTTTGTCATAATCTTCACCCGTTGTAGTAAATCTTTCACAAAAGCCCACAAGAGGGCAATGCAACACAAGAACAAGGTGCATGAGTGAATTACAGTGGTTTGCAAAAGTATTCATACCCCTTGAACTTTTCCATATTTTGTCACATTACAACCACAAACATAAATATATTTCACTGGAAT